TTCCCGCATACATCCTTACATCCGGTGTAACTCATTTAGGTGCGTATACATATATAGCAAAATTATTGATAATAATAAAAGAAACAAATTATACATCATTTAACTCAAAATTATGAAGAAAAAAGGTGCAGGTATTTGAACTAAAAATTCTATTAAGTACCACACAAATAACCCTATAATTTATTTATTCTCAACTGAATTTTTGCCTTGAATATCCTAGATTACCAATGTTGAGGCATCATATATTAACACTCAGTAGTAAAGTGATTTATTGATGGAAGGAAGATTATATGAAATATACACATTTATACTAGTGTCTGATACATGTCCCTTATGAAGTAGTTTGTTAATTTTATAAGTGTGAATACTATACATACAAGAAAGACTGTTGAGTCTTAGACTAATTGGAGAGTGATTAGATCAGTTATGAGGACCAAATGATTAAAATATTTAGGAGAGAGGATCAAGTTTTGAAGATGGTTGAAGTTGTATTATGGATTTGCAATAGATTTTCAACAATAATTAATACAACCATTCTATATAAGAATGAGGAGCGATTGGTGCGAGAAACGTTATAGCATATATAGGACGGATGGGCAAGGAACAGTCCTATATGTTAATGCTTACGCAGTTGTCCTATGTTGTTTTATGGAATTTAAAAACAATATATTTTATTTTAAAATATAAACACATAGAGGATGATTGTACAGTGGAACCGTCCTCTATTTGTTGAACTTATAGGACAATTTCCATTTAGAATTGTCCTATATACTCTTTGAAATTAAAATTCCTAACTCCTTTAGTTTTCGAACAAAGTTGCAAATCATCTCCCCACGCGCGTCTTTTTCAAAAACCTATAACCAAAGCTCAGAAGCTCAGCTCCCCCATACTGTTTTAATTGACCAAAACCTATAATGTACCGCATTGATCGAAACCCAAAACCCTAGTACTTAAAACCTAGAACCAAAAGTGTCTTCGACTTCACTTCATGTCTTCGACTTTGTGTGACAATAGCTTGGGCATTTCAACTTCAAATCAATTGTAAGCTTTTTCTGCTCTTGTTTGGCTTTTCTCTATTTTTGTACATTCTGTGTGTTTATGACTTCACATCAAATGTTGGGATAAGATTTAGAGGATATTAGAGTTTAGATTTATTGTTTGGATATTACACACTTAAGGTATTTGATAAAATGTCTAAAAGGAAGAACCTGAACGGTATTGTTGTTCTTGTTTTTGTTTTAAAAGTGAACATCTTATTCAATAGGGTAGTTGATAATATTATGCACATTGACATAATTGAGTCAATTAGGTAAACTAAACTAGGACTATTGAACTAATGAAACTAGTGGAAGATAACTTACTTAATTACTTTCTTTGTTTTGTTACTAGTTTCTGTTTGTAGTTTTACTTTAAATTTAATGTTGAAGACTTTGTGGTAATTTGTAAGTACTTGAGAATCCTCATAATCTTCCTTTTTTTTTTTAAGATTATGGATGTTATTATTGCTGTTGGTGGTGGTGATTGAGTTGGATTGAAATGAGATTGTATAGGAAAGAATTTAAGCATGAAGAGAGGGCTAAATTTTCAAGGAAGTCCATGTTTTAAGTCGTTATGTAAAATTCTAGATTTTAATTCTTGGAATTTTCAGTGTTTAAGAGGTATTTTGATTAAATAAGGTGAATTATTAATTAATGATGTTTTTGAAGAACTAATATGGTCTTTGGATTATCGGATAGCTTTAGAAGAGATCTATGTCGAAGTTTGAGCAAGCTGTGGCACGAAGAGAGGTTCGAAATGTGTGTGAGACTTTATGTGCCATGCACTGTGATGCATGCTCAAAATTTGCACATATTAGACTCGCGAGTCAGACTGAAAATTAGAAGTAAGATAAGAGTAAATGCAAGGAGGCAATAGAAAATGACCGATGACCACTAAGGCTTGACCTTGAGATTAGTTTTGAACCATTTGAAGCAAAATTTATCTTTGGGTAAGCCTTTTACATTCTTCCTCTCCCTTTATGCAAATTTTTGAGGTTTAGGGTAATGTGGGACTTGATTTTTTTTTTTTTTGGGTAATAACTAAACCCATTGGCTTATATGGTCTTGGGGAGTTAAATTTGGCCTTTAAATTTAGATTTATGGATTATATAGTGATTTGGAGTTTTTGGATAGGGTTTGGATGAACTTTAAGTAAAAATTGAGAGATTAAGAGCAATGTGGATAATGAAGTGGTGTTATTTAAGTGTTTAGGTGTCAAAGAGAATTAATGGAGTGTGTTGGGAGAATTGATAGGGTTAAATTAAGGTTTTAGGTTATATTGGGTAACCAAAATTATGTTAAAAATGGGGTAATTAGTGTGTCAATTGATGATTAAAAGTCTAATCTTATAGATTAACTATTGATCGAGCATTGTGTTGCTAGTGGACATGTGTGGAGCCATTGTTTGACCACAGTAATCCTTTTGGTGACAAAAAGGGTTGAGATAACTGGATTGTCTAAACTCTCTTCTTGTGCGTTTGGATGATTGTATGGTAGTTATTAAGGTTAATTCCTTAGTTTTGTATTGATATAGTATTAACATGAAATGATTATGACTTTAAAACTATGTGAAATGGAATGAAAAGTTATGCTTTTAATGTTGTAGTATTTGAAAGCTCAATGCTATTTTAAGTATAATTACTTGCAAAATTCTATGGTTTAAGTAGAAATGAGAATTAGCAAAAATTTTATGTTATGATTATGTATGGGTTCATTAAGCATATGTTTGGCATGATCATTATGAAAGAGTGGGAGTTCACCCTAGTGTATTATTGAGGATATTGTTTGAAAATTCATTTAATACACTAGCACCATGGAGGCTTTGATGCACAGTTTATATTGTTTGAAAGTCCCAGTATTATGTGAGATAAATTGTGCATCGACACCCTTAATGTTCGTGGATAGAGAAAATTTATAGTTTATAGTGGTGAAGGCACTCTTTGCCAGGGCTGCCTCTTACTAATGGTGAGCTTGGACCAATTTAATCACATGAATTTGGTCCTATTGGGTTGTCAACCTACAGATTCAATTGAAAGTTATAAAAAGGTATAAGGTAATGTATTGATCATGCATATCATACTATAACTATATGTATATTGGTGTATCTTGTTATGTATTTTTAATGCCACTTCACATACCTACTGTCCGTTTTCACACACAAGTAGTTTGATTAGACTATTTAGTTACTGAGTACTCAACTCATCTCGTGGTTATATTTTATAGGTGAAGCCTCCAATAGGGGCAAGGGGAAGAATGTGTGATTGAGCATCGAAAGGACTAGCTAGTGTTTGTATAGTCCTTTTATTTCTTTTGATTTTGTAATGAATGATATATGTATATCCCAATTTAGGAATCATATACTATTTTGTGAGCACTTGCATGAACTCTGTTGTAGATTGTGGGTATCTCGACTTGGGACATTGTATTTGTGTTGTAATGGTAGTGTGAGGTCAAGATATTGGTAAAGTGTTATTTCGTGTTGCTTCATGGATTTGATTGGCCATGTGTATGATTGTTGAGTATTGTTACCACTTTTTGGGAGTTATGCTAAATTATGGTTTGAATGGCTAATTTGTGTTTGGAATGTTATTATTGTGGTTTGATTGTATGAACAGGTTGGTTGTGGCCTATTTGAGTTGAGTCAAGTGGTTCCACAATTATTGGCAGTTGATATGTGAGTTTGGACACCTTAGTGGTTATTTTGGAAAGAAAATGTACTTTGGGTGTCCAACTTTCAATTGATTTAGTGTTTGGGTGTGATACTAGTGCTAATAACTAGTTGGCTCAAAGAGCGCTATATGTGAACACTTAAATTGCTCAAATTGAATGTCAGATGGTGATTTGCCGCGCTCCAAAAGTTGGCTAGGAGCACTATCATGACAACAGGTGCATGTCGCTATGCATTGACAGGCACGTTGTGGCGCAAGACACAAAGAGGGAATGTAATCCCTTTGTATTGTTTGCCACGGCAAGTCAAGGCTTGCACCGCGGTACATTGTGTCATTTTTTAGAAAGTTTTCCAAATTTAGTTTGATATTGGTTTTAAGTTTTTTAATTTCCATACTTTCATTATCTTGTTTAATTTATTTTAAACTATAGTTTGAATTGAAATGGCTTTTAAATAAAATTTTTTTAAGATCCCAACTTCTTAAATCTTCTTTAAACCCTTTTATAATAACTACTTTTAAGGGATTTAAATATCTTGATTATCATAATAGTGTTTAATGTTTGGTAATAATAGGGATGACGTTATAATTTGATATCATTTCACACCTTCCAAGACTGATATACATGATTGATGTGTTTGATTCCATTGTTGTGTTGCATTCATGTCAATGTAAGCTTATAGGTTTAAGATGCAGAGGCACATGCTTTGGGTGTAAGGTTATAAACTAGAGTGCAAATGTACAAGTTTTGGGCGCAAGGTTATAAACACTAGGGCATTTTGATCCATTCATTTAAACACCTTGTCTTTTAATTTGCCTTGGTCCCTCAACACAATTTGCCTCCTAAAGAGGTTTTCTCTAGCAGTTCTCCCTTTGTTTGGAATGAGAACTCTTAATCGGTTGGGGAAATCCGTCGGCCCACACCGAAGCTGATGGTTGAGTTAATTGAGAACCTTTCAAACTTGTTTGAACCTCAGTTAGACCTTCGTCGATCCAATCCTTCAGACCTCCATTGGATCATCGGAGCTATTGGAAGAGATGCCGAAGTAAGGGACGACGCTGCCACGCAAAGGCCAATGTGAAGGCTTTTCATTCACGACTGCGTTTTTGGTGTCACAGGATCTTCATTCCATGAAATTATGGAAGATGACTTCTTTCTCATATAAATGACACCATCATCTTTCCATGGAAATGAAGTTTGATGGCCGTAATGGCAAACCATCCACGCTTAAGATACAAACGGAACGGAAATTGCCCATCTTTGGGACAAGATTCCAGTAACCAAACGTGCAGGAAATAATGGAAAAATCTGGCAGGTATTCACTGAATGGAAACACAATCATCAACCAATACAAAGTGATATTAAACCGGGAAACAGAAGCTGTTTCTTACAGGCACAATTACACATGGCAATATTAAAAAGAAAAAATAAAATCAACAGAGGAGCATTTTGATCCACCTTTTCTCTCTATAGGCAATCTTGCAACTTTTAATCATCAAATGAACTCAAGAATCCGCCCAGAAAACCAGCTCCATTACACTCTCCACACAAAACCTGTTTCTTACCCCTGCAAGACACATACTTGTTGGAGAGCTTTAGGTAAAAGCTACTAACACTTGTTGAGATATTTTCATATTCTGAGATTTGCACTTGTTCAAATTTGAATTTGTCACTTCACAAACGGGCCTATATTTTTTGTTAAGAGTAGTGGGACAATATGCAACATTTGCAACTGAAGCATAGAACTAAGGAGAAGCATTAGATGATGCAAATATTCTTATCATCAACTTCTCTGCTTCACTGGTTGATTTGGTTAATAGAAGCAAATGAAACCATTCCATATCGAGCTATACATTATATATTGAACTGTAGCTACACATGCATCATGTATTAAAACGAAGGAGCAGAATGAGTGAATGGTCATATTAACATGCAATGTAACATGCTGATGCATGGTTCTGGAGGCATCACACTATGGACTTAATTATATACAACATGACACACAGCACAAGATAGACTTGCTCGCACTTGACAATATTAAGGGAGGACAAGATGAGCATTTGATTGAGCTACCTGCAAAGCCAACATAGTCCACCAGCTTTAAACTGCCCGTTGAAGTGATCTACAGAATTAACTCCAGTTCCTTTGCACTGAGAACATAATACGGCACCTAGCAATTGAAACAATGGATAAAACCATGGTTAGTTGAATGCCGATGTTTCCACTAGAAGGAAAAGGACTCCAAAAATCTCTAAGAAATTTGGAAGCACTGATGGTGCTTGGGCTAAAGATGCAAAACATAAGTCCTCAATATGCATCAGAGAACAATGTTAAAGAGCATCAAGAACAATCAATTTCCCAAACTAAACTCTTGGTAGACACAACATTATCAGCAGTAACTAGCTGATGCATGAATGTATCTCTAGTCAAATCAAACTGACCAAACAGAGGAGGATCAGATTCTGTAAGTGCTGTAATTATTCCAAATACTCCACCACCAATGTAAAGATCTAGCAATAGGAGTACATTAAAGAAAATGATAATTTTCAAATTACCCAGTGCAAAAGATAAGTCACAACTAAATCTACTAAGTTTACACATATAAATAAAAGCAATGTGATAATATTTCTAAGCATATATCAGTATTCATAGAAAAAGCTACCAAATGAAATCTCTCAACAAGCAAAAAACCACAGGGTAATCAACTTTTCCTCGAGTCTATTTTTTACCATCTAATATTGGTAACCAGACTAGCTGTGATGCATTCTATTGCATGGAGATATTACTGCATTAGTAGGATATGACCCCATCAATAGAGAGCAATTAAAAAGACAATATTCCAAAAATGATTGACACAATATATTCCACTTACCATTTCCTTCACAATTAGAACAAATGATGCTCTTTACTTTGGTGTTACTTTGAGTATCATCAGTGGCCTGTATTAAAACGAGATTAGAGTGTGCTTTAAAACAATTTGCTAACCCAATAACAAAAACTTCGTCAAATAAAACATCTTCAAGTTACATTGCCAATAATCTCAAGTATTGATGACATCAGTCATCAAATCCTCTCATAGAATCTCAGCCTGCTTATTATCTTTCTACTTCTTCCAAAGAAAGTGCCAAATTAACCCTTAATCAATGTCATATTAATTTGCAGTCTCTAACCCAGATAACATAAACCACAACCATGATCCAATTCACTGACTCCTATCTAACTGCGCAAGGATCAACATAAATTCAGCTGGAGCATTGTTCCTTGCTTTATTTATGAGTTTCTTGTTCACAGCAACAATAAAAATAAAAGGCAAGAGTTTATTCGCTGGGCGCTGTGCGGTCTTCATCCCTCTATGCATCACTAAATAAACACAGAAACTTAACTCCGCAAGACACTTTCCAACAAGAGAATCCCCTTTATTAACTGAATATCAGCAATATTCAATAAGCATCTGGTTTGTTAGTGGGAAGCTGAAATCAATTTCACCTTGATCTCGAAAGACTGTAAGTTGCGAGCTTTAGAATTCTGACATGCTTCGATTATCTGGAAAGCCTTTCGGTCGACCGAATTGCTGGTCACTATCCCTATTCAAATTAATTAAAAAAAAATCCAATAACAACGCGTTCGAGATTGAAGAAGTTCGAGAAGGTTAAGAGAGTTAAGAATACCCGGCCTGTTTGAAGATTTCAAGGAACAAATTGGAGTAGAGAATACAGAGTGCGCCATAGGACTTCAACAACTTCTTTTGCTTAAGCCTTTGCCTTCTCAGAAGAAAAATATCGAACGGATTAGCTAAGCTTAGCCTTAGGCTAAAGTGTGTGCGGTTAGCCGCCTAGTGGCAACAAGGATAAGTCGAAAAAGATAAGGCCATCGTCTTCTCCATGGGTCAAGTTAAGATTTCTGTTCCAAAAATACCCCTAAACAATTACCGAATTCCCCAGAATGTTCCACCTCTTACGGCCAAAAGTAGTGGGTATTAGCGTAAAAATATTCAACCCCCAGTGCTCCACCCACAGAAACCGAAAAAAACAAGGACGTACAGTCGTGAAACACAAGGAAATGGCGAGCGCTCTGTTGTCAGTTTATCGCTTTCTTCCCTCGCAGAGTAAGCTTAATGACATTTATATACTATTTTAATCTCTTTTGTCGATTAATTTTTTTATCAATTTTATAGGATTCCTTTTGAATCTTACAAGTATTCAAGAATTGCGATCATTCTTCCATAGGAAACACAAACTGAAATTTGATCTGTTCTTCCATGTTCATGGAGAAAGGTTTGATTTGGGGGCTAATTGCTTATACCTTATTTGTTTGTTTTAGAAAAGGAAAATGTGGGATATGTCACTGACATCAAGACGTCGTTGTGCGGACAAGTACTGTGCAATCCAAATTCTCTGACAAGACAGATAGCTACTGGCCATGGAAGCCGTCTTGTTATTTCCTCACTGGTTACTACCGAACCCCTCTACTATATATAGTTATATATAATTTAGTAATTTACAAAAAGTCACTATTTTGATTAAAATAAAATCCTATAGTTCTATAATTTTCTAATGTAAGCAAGTCGATATTAGGATGCTCTGAGCAGCATTGCCTACGTCGATTTACATCGTAGTTTTGGTTTTAGTACAGTCTAATTGTCGCCGTTGATTTTCTTTGTTGACAGCTTGGAAGGAGAGTCAAGAGCAGAGAGACTGTAATTCCCGACCCAGATTACAGAATTCCAGTTGTTCTTCTCGGTAAACACTGGTTCTTTCTTGTTTTATATGTGCCTTACTAGACATTAAGCTTTTCAAGAAAATGATAACCCTTATAACCTTGGAGAGTCTAGCTGACAAGTAATAGGTCCACGACTTCATGTGTTTGAAGTTAAACATGGATGCATATTGTTCTTCAGGAAAGATGAATATTGAAAATGGTAGTCAATAATACTTGCATGATCTGAACATTAATAAGATATGAACTTAACTATGGTGACCCATGAATTTTTGTAAAACTGTTCTTGATAATCGACTTTCATAAAATGCTTGTCGACCAAAGATGCACATGACTCCTTGGATAATTCGTCTAGAATTTCGTAATCATGAGCAGCCACGCAGCTAGTATAGAGGTGAGCGAACTATTCTTTTACCTCTTACTGAAGAACTTCATTGTCATAGCTCTTTGCCCGGGGTTGTGATGAAAGGTTACAATTTTAGAGGGGACGAGCTTGATTCATTAACACACACACACAGTCTCTCTCTCTCTCATCCCCTTCAGTATGCTGGCTTCTTTTTGGGTATTGGTCATCAGGTGAATGTTTACAACTAGAAAGGAAAGGAAGTTTTCTGTATGAGGATATGGCTCCTGAAAATTGCTAGCTTTATTCATTTGCAACTACTGAGTATTCTGAATGAGGATGCTAGGGTCTAGTACTTCCCCTTATGTGTACCCAGTGATGCATTTCGATGATACTTGATTATATTTCCTTTTGTTACCAAAAAAAAAAAAAAATTGGAAGAAAGAATGGAAGTTTTCCATACTCCTGTCTGTGTAGTTATTCATTATATAATAACTGATAATGACTTTAAGTTGTATCATATCAGGTATAACTGGTGGGTTGGCTTACACAAATAACCTGGTACCTGCTATACCTGCTGGTCTCCTCGGTTTGCTTCTGTTAGTCCAGGTAGTCAATTATTGACCATGTAATTAAGTAGTCAAGGTGTAATTAGTATGATATGGTAGAGAACCTTGAGAAGCTGCAAGGTTGTACATACTCTAATAGGATATGTTTCAGCTGCATTACTCTTTCCAGTTTTAAGAATCAAGCTGACTGTTTCTCTTGTTATGTTTCCTCAGACCACTAGAGTTAGATTCGTTTTTGATAATGAGGCTCTGGTATGTTCTTCTCTCACCTTCCGGAAAACTCTGGTTATTGTTTGCTATGACTTCCTGTAAATGTATTTTTACCCTTCCTGGGTTTTTTATTTTTATTACTTTATGGTTTCAGGAGGTAAGGGTAGGTGATGAACTCAAGGAATCAGATGAAAATGTCTTCGTAGGCGGAAAAAACCGTTGGAAGTAAGTGCATAATTTAGTTATGGAAGACTAATGACACCAAGAATTTCAAAAAAGGAGGAGAAACTAATCTGCTTGATGTGCTTCAGGTATTCAACATTTGTTAATTGGGAGTTTTGGTGGCCTAACTTTCCTATTTTAGTGTACTTCAAGGAGACACAAACAGAGCCTGAGGGACAAATTCATTTCTTCCCTATAATCTTTGTAAGCAGCTTGGAAGCAGAACTTAACTGAGTTACTTTAAGGTTTTGAGATTTTGTTTTTTGCTTTTTATTTGATCCTTGCTGCTTTGTTATACCAAGCAGAATGGTAAGCAGCTTTACGATGTTATGGTGGAAAGAGCTGGCCCATCCCAAAGCAGTGGACCGAAAGAATCCTAAGGAATGTTCTTTTGTTTCGGAATCGTATGGAATCGTATTCATTCTATAAATCTAAGGCATGCTAAATTCAGTGACTCTGTACAGGTTGATGTTATATTTTATGTCTATCTTATGTAAGAACATCTTTATAATGTACGTTAACAAATTTTAATTTACATCCAATGGGGAGGGCCCGTTTGAACTCACAATTATAATGTAAAAATAAATGTATTGAAACTATATTTATTAAATTGACTTTGAAAAAATAAGTGATATGTAAAAATCATCTTTGTTTAGGGTTGACATCTTATAATTATGAGAAGCAATTTTTTCCCCCCTTATCTACCTTTCTTTCAATACACTCTCCACATTAGTTTTCTAAATATATATGTAAATTAAATTCTCTACACACCAGGAGGGGAAAAAAAAAGTGACACAGAAGAATGAAGAATCTGTGCGTCTCAACTAAAATAATTTATCTAGCTTTCTGAATGCATTCTCTGTTAATTTTTGTGAATATTCAAAGGATCTCAACCAAGGTTATTAAACTTGTGAGTTTAAATAAACTAGTGATAAGGATGTAAATTAAAATGTGGACTCGGATTGTAAAGTCGTCAGAGTTTGTTTTTATTAATAAATAACCTTTAAAAGTATCTTATTAAATAATTAAAATATGAAATATGATCATGATTTAATTTAAATATATTTTAAGTATAAATTATTGAAATTAAATCTATCTACATTCATAAATTATTATACTCCATATAGAAATTTTAAAATAGAGCAACTTATTTTTGGTATTTTTGGTTTTCTTTTTCATTAATATTAGTTTTTTATGTTTATTTTTCATTGAAACGAATCCTACATGAATCAAGTTCTACATAATATATACGTATTTTACTCAACGAGTTTATGAGTAGATCGACACAATTTTATAAGTCAGAAACGTAAAAATAGTAAACTTAAAGAGTCAACTTGTGAGTTTAATTGAGTTTTATCTAATTTGAATTTATGAGCGATTTAACATAATTTTATAAGTTAGATACTTAAAAATGATAAATTTGTAGAATCAACTTGAAGTTTGACAACAATGATTTCAAGTGAATATCCATACTTGTAAAAATCTGGCTCCCCCCCACCCCCGGGTCATACTTGCGAGTTAAATAGCCAAATTTGTTGCAGGGCACAAAGAGCTTAATTACTTGTTTTACGTTAATTTGTTGCTTCTCAGGACTCAAATTCTTGACTTCAACTCATGCGTAACAAGGCAGACAATGAATAGATTTCCATTCATTTTAATTTCAAAGTTAATGCAGTTTCGTTATATCACAAAGTGTCCAATGGCCACACGGTAACTATTTGAAGCGGCATGTGATGTGAGGCTAATTCATCATTACCATTCTCAATGATGTAATTTCACGACATCTGATATATATTTAAAAAGAATAGATAAGTCAAATCTCAAACAAAAATAACTAAAAATCACACCTAAAAGCTTCTATAATGTTTGGACTAAAATATGAAACGTCACTTGATAGGTCACAAAGCTATATGGATTGAATAACTGAAGAGTCAGGCTCAATCTGAATAAAGGGGCCGGCCCTGAGCTCAATAGAAAGCCACGATAGAATAAACATGCCGAAATCTCGCCAGTTACAAACAATGGACAGTTGGCACATAAAGACACGATCCCAAGTGATTTCGGGATCCCAAGTGATTTCGGAATCAATGAACATCATGTCCAAGTATCTCGATGAGATAGCTAATTGCCAAAAATAGAGAATACTGATTAAAGACCGTGCCATAAGTCTCGTAGATTCTTGATTCTTTGGCAGAACATTCTAGGTCTTAAGGGAAAGGCTACCACCACTCTAACACTATAAATAGAATATGAGGATACAGAAGAAGGATAGTCAACACTCAATCAAAGACTCGCATTTTGCATTCTTAGCTTTTTAGTTTTAACAGTTAGTTTATTTTCAATATAGACTTGTAATCCTTTTACATTTCAATAAAAAACCAAAAAACTTTTTCTACCAAGCCTTGTGTATCTTTTACACCCGAATGAACTGTGGTAAGGGAGCTCGGAACTTTTTTGTTATGAATTAAGACTTAGAGTCTCTAGCATGCCTGGTATTTGTTGTTTGCTATGAATAATTTTTCGTGTGCCCGGTGGAACTTGTGTAACAAAGATGGCAAGGATGAGAAAGGACATAAGGAATGATGAAACAGGTATTGGTTCTCATGAACCAAAAGGGACCTCTACACATACAGGGTCAGAACACTTGATACCTAATATTAAAGTGACTAAACATCATGAGCATGTAGTGCCGATGTTGACAGGAAGTAACAGCATAAGCCTGGTTCAAAGCTAAAAAGTGGTCAAGCAAACTCACTGATCATATCTAACGATCCTGTGGTAGAAGTGCTATGGGAAATTCAAGACTAGATAGATAAGCAGCTGGAAGAGAACCAAATGTTTTTTGCTCTATCCATGGAAATGTCAAAATGCAGGGAGAAAGAACAACGGCAGATCATGATGCAAGTTTTGACATGATAGCGTGAAAAACATAGCTACATCATTAAGAAGAGCTCCTCTAGAAGCAGGCTCAAACCTAGGCCGTATAGAGGACAACAAGTAGGAATTAATGCAGGCACTGGCCATTAGGGCCGCCTACTTGTAAGGGACTGTCCTAACCCCCAGATTTTTACTAACACTAATCTTTTAAGTAATCCTTTATATTATTTACAAGAGCCCGGCATGAGCAGCCTAGGGGCATGGCAATAGTCTCGAAGTGCCAAAATGAGCCTCTTAACTGAATGGTGAACATGGAGGCCTTGAGGGATGCTATCCAGGATATATATGAATTAGGGCTTAGGCCAATTGGCTGCCCCACCTTCTTGAAGCTATATCCAGAATACATGGACAGGGACAACCCATACCCTCGAGAATACAGGATCTCAAACTCATACTAATCTCAGAGACAGAATGCAATCAACCTTGGAGCACATTGAGAGGTTCACAATCCAATGTGGGGAGATTTCCAACTATGAAAACTTTGCTAATTTAAAGTTGAGGTTGTTCCCCAACACTCTCACAGGCTTGGCATTCACATGGTACACTTCATTGCCCTGCAACTCAATGATCAGCTAGATAGAAATGGAGCAAAGTTCCACATATAGTTTTATAAGGCAAAGTCAAAGGTCAGCATAACAGAACTCTGCAAGCTCACCTATCAAGTTAGGGAGATGGTGGACCAATACTTGGTGAGGTTCAAACGAATGAGGAGTAGGTGCCATGTGCCGCTTCCAGAAATGGAATTCATCAAGCTAGCCCAAGCAGGACTGGATATAGAGCTTTGAAAGAAATTCTAGGGGATAGAATGTCAAGATTTCTATGAGCTAGCAACCAAAGTATGGGGATACAAGGAGTTGCTGGAAGAGGAGGACTATCGCTAGCGGACCATGGCAGGAACTTACTTCGATGATCTTAACTTAGCAGTGGAAAAACTAAAAAGTGTAGGAAATTACATGTGCTCAGCCTTGATAAGGAAGGCCAAGGAGGCTCCCAAAAGGTCAAACTCAATACAATATACCTTTGACACCACTAAAACAAAGGAGATTTTAAATTTTCTTCTCAAAGAGAACTTCATCTCCTTACCTACTAATCATAAGATTCCATGAAAAGAAGAACAGAGAGGGAAGAAGTATTGTAAGTACCATCACTCATAGAGTCACATTATTAAATCCTATTGGGACTTCAAAAATGTCATCCAAGATTGGATCAATAAGGGAGTCCTCAAGTAACTAAGGAGGGATCCATGGTCATGGATGAGGATCTATTTCCACCATTCACCATAGTGAACATGGTGGAGATAAACTCTAACAAATGCCCGACCGAGAGAAATGATGGTAGGTGGAGAGATGGGAGGCCCTGGAATGTTTGAAACAAGGAGGAAATAGCTCAAGAGAGCTTAAGAATAGTATGGGACTGCCTGGAGGAGCCTACGAGCTGATCTAATAGGAATAGGTCTTCAAGATGGGACATTGGCCTAGAAGGGCAAAGTGTAAAGAGTCCAGACAACTTTAAGGTAGTTTGGGACTATCTGGGAGAAACCACAGGCAGCTCAAAGATTGATGACTAATAAACAATGAAGCAGAATAGCAAATGACCCTCAAGATAAGACATTAGCCTAGGGGATTACTAATAATAGAGCCAAATGGATCTAAAGTGGTCTGGGACCATCTGGGGGAGCCGTTTGGCAAATTCAACTTCTTCATTAAATACTTAGCATTGCCAGGAACAGGTGAATTGTTCACAAGGACACTAAGGGGCTAGGATATAGGCCCTGACGGCCTACCTTTAACACCATTAACGCCATTAGAGAGCATAATAGAGCTTCCTTTAAAACAAAAGTCGCTAAGAGTTTGGGTAGGTTCGTTACGCCACTTGGTAACATACTGCCTCTAAAATAAAGAGTTATAAGGCACAAAAAATTCCTAGCTGCCTTAACCAAAACTTAGAAATGACGTCTTCAGTGAAAGCGGACTGCGTAAAGATACCTCGAGTAATAGAAGATTGAGGCATAGGAAGGCTTTGATATGCAGGAAGCTAACAAGTTTAAAAGGAAGTCCATTGAGGATTAGGATGAGGGGAGTGGAAATGAAAATTAGTATAGTGGGATCATTCATGTTGAAGAGGTACGTCTTAATCTCTGCCACGTGGTTTCATTGATACTCCCTTTCCAGTTCCTCAAGGCTGACATGCATGGGCCTGTATTGATATTGCCCAACGGAGCCTAGGGAGGAGGAGGAGTATGAGCCAATAAAGATATAGACATAGGAAGAGAAAGCTACAGAGCTCGTTTGCTAGGTCACCTTACAAGCTATAGAAGAAAAGCCAAAATGGGCTATCTTAGAAAAACCAAGCATTAAGATGACCCAGCACTTAAAGCCTTTATACATTAAGGCACACTTCGATGGGAAGCTAATGACTAGGGTTCTAGTGGATAATGGCTTGCTAGTAAATATACTGCCAGCTTGTATGATGCTCAAGATGGGGTGAGAAAAGCGAGATCTGATGCCAACTGAGGTGTTCGTGGTAGAATTCATTGGGACTACCTCTGAGGTCATTGGTGTATTACCATTACAGGTTGACATTGGGAATAAATCCTCTTTAACAT